CGAGATCCTGCGCACGCCCCTGGAGAACCTGGTGGTGCAGGCCAAGATCCACATGCCAGAGAAAACGGTGAGCGGGCCCTGGCTGCGGGCACTGAGAGGGTGTGTGGAGCCCCAGGGGCAGAGCGGGCAGAACCCAGAGTGCTGATGGCTTGAGTTTAACATGGTGCTGTCCAGGGAAGTTCAGAGCAGGAAATCTCCCTGAGATCACAGAGTGTGTCTGGAGGCTTGAAGGAACGGAGAGGGCTGACTCATATCCCTGGAGGTGGACAAAGAGGGAATTGTGCTGCAGTCTGGGTTCCTGAGGGCTCTCACAGCTGTATGGGAAACTTGCTCACTTTTTCCCTTTTCCCTTCCCCTGCTGTGTTGCAGGCAGTTGAATTTCTGTCCAAGGCTCTGGACAGCCCTGACATCAAAGCTGTGGATGAAGCTGTGATCTTGCTGCAGGAGATTGGTGAGTTAATTCTGTGTCCTGGAAACACGTTTGCTGTTCTCAGCATGACAGTGGGACTTGGCACAGGCTGCTGTGGGGCAGACTGGGCAGGATTGTCCTGGATGGGGATAGCAGTTGACAGTGACTTTCCCAAACCACGTGCCCTGTGCTGTTTTATTTCCCACACTGCTTTGCTTAAAAATTGGGGATAACTTTCCAAGGTTAAAAAATAAAGAGGAGGCAGCAGAAAGAAGGGAAGTGGTGATGTGGAGTTCAGAGAGGGTGACAGAAGGAAGTGGTGATCTGGAGTTCAGACATGGGTGACTGAAGGGAAGTGGTGATCTGGAGTTCAGAGGTGGGGGACAAAAGGAAAGGAAGTAGTGATCTGGAGTTCAGAGAGGGTGACAGAAGGAAGTGCTGATCTGGAGTTCAAGGCTGGGCCTTGTGATGCTCCTGAGGCTTTGACAGCCGTTTCTGTGTCCTGAACTCAGTTAGACATGGGGGGTTCTGGGTGCTTACTGCAGGCCCCTGTGCCTCTTCTGGAGGTCACCCCAAATCTTCCCAGCCCTGGCAGTTCCCATCCCCAGTTTTGATGGATGAGCTGATGGATGTGCCACGTGGGTGTCTGTCCCGCAGGAGTGCTGGACCAGCGGGAAGCGCTGACCACCCTGGGCAAGCGCCTGGCGCAGATCTCCACGGACCCTCGGCTGGCCAAGGCCATCGTGCTGGCCTCCATCTACCGCTGCCTGCACCCGCTGCTGG